TGGGGATTTGAGGATTTAGGGATTTTACGGATTTGGGAATTTGAGAATTTGGAATTTGAGGATTTAGGGATTTTACGGATTTGGGAATTTGAGGATTTGGGGATTTGGGGATTTGAGAATTTTGGAATTTGGGGATTTAGGTATTTGGAAAATTTAGGAGTTGAAAATTTCAAGTTTAGGAATTTAGGGATTTGGGAATTTATAGAGTTGGGAATTAAGAGATTTGGAAAATTTGAAGATTGAAAATTTGGAGATTTGGGAATTTAGTGATTTGGGGATTTGTGGAATTGAGGATTTGGGAATTTAGTGATTTGGGGATTTGGGGAATTGAGGATTTGGGAATTTAATGATTTGGGGATTTAGGGAATTGAGGATTTGGTGATTTGGGGATTTGGGGTTTAGTAATTTTGTGATTTGGTGATTTCATGAACTGGTGATTTGGTGATTTGATAATTTAGGTAATTTGAAAATTTGGAGATTTGAGACTTTAAGCATTTGAAAATTTCGGGATGTGAAGAATTCAAAATTTGAGAATGTAGACACTTGAAAATTTCGGAACATAAGAGTTTAAAAATCTAAAAAGTTATACAATTTTGAAATGTGGAACTTTGTAAACTTGATAACTTGGAAATTTGAACACATAGAAAACTTGAAATATCTAAATTTCTAAATTTGAAAAGTTGAAATATAAAACATAGGAACCTAAAAAAGAAACTTGATAACGCAGAAAATAAAAATTAAAAAACCATTAATTTCCCATACTTCACCACAATAAGATAAATAAAAATATCCAAATATCTACAAAACTTGAATCCGACGAGAAAAATTGTCTTCCATAAAAATAACATCCCTCAAAGAAACAATATCTTGAACTTCAAACCATTAACAAATCGCTAAAGACCTTCAGTAAACAATATATATTTATCAGTAGTCAAACAACGTACAGTTAATTGTAATTGATGGTGTTAAAAACAAATTCTCCCCAGTTATAAATCTATATACCTAACGCGCACGAGCTCGATGGCAGTCCATATTTATATAGTCAAAGAGGTTGACAGATCGACGTTCGGTCGCGCCTCGTTCGCCTTGTGCCGATGAATATTTCAGTCAGCTCTGGCTTCAGCTGTCAGTCCGCGGGACAGGATGTGCGAGAAAGAGAGAAAGGGTGGAAACCGATGAAGGGGAAGGGGTGAAATCGCTTCTATGTATAGAGACGTATGGCCCGACGAACTTTCGACCTGAAATGACCCGAGCTAGATGCAGACGCCTCCGCGAATTTGCCACCTTTCGCGATGGAAACCACCCCCTTAACCTGCAACCACCTTAATGATCCGTTTAATCCAGGATACCAGACGATTCTCTATGAATAAATGAAAATTATATAATTCAATTCGTGTACGTCAGATATCATTCTTATTTAGCTTTAATCTTTCGTTTGGGAGACACAATTTTGGTATGTGAATTATTTATTTGAGGAAAAATTACCTCAAATTGGTAGCGGGATGGTCGGTGTTAATTTATTAGTTTATACTGGGGGTGGTTTATGATATAGCTCGTTTATGATTTATAGTTCATGACACTTGGTGATTTATGGTACTTGTGATGGTGGTTTGTACTGAGGGTGGTTTATGATATTTAGGTTGTATTTTTTGGTAGTTTGGGATACTTGGTAATTGACATTGGTCAGTACTTTATGATGTTTGGTAATTTGTGTTATTTAATAGGTTATAATACTTGATTATTTATACTGCTTAGTAGTTTATGAAGTTTAGTAGTTTATGTTATTTAATAATTTATGATATTTGGTTATTTATACTAATTAGTATAAATACTTTTATGATATTTGGTTATTTGTACTGCTTAGTAGTTTATGATGTTTGATAGTTTATATTATTTAATAATTTACAATATTTGGTCATTTATACTGTTTAGTAGTTAATGATGTTTGGTACTTGATATTATTTAATAATTTATAATATTTGGACATTTACACTACTTAGTAGTTTATGATGTTTGGTACTTGATATTATTTAATAATTTATAACATTTGGACATTTACACTACTTAGTAGTTTATAATGTTTGGTAGTTTATATTATTTAATAATTTATAATATTTGGTTATTTATACTGCTTAGTAGTTTATGATGTTTGGTAGTTTATATTATTTAATAATTTACAATATTTGGTCATTTATACTGTTTAGTAGCTTATTTAGTAGTTAATGATGTTTGGTACTTGATATTATTTAATAATTTATAATATTTGGTTATTTATACTGCTTAGTAATTTATGATGTTTGATAGTTTATATTATTTAATAATTTATAATATTTGGTCAATTATACCATTTAGTAGCTTATGGTAATTAATAGCTTATACAGAGGGGTAGTTTATAGTGATTGGTAGTTTATACTGAGGGGTAGTTTATCATATTTAATAATTTATATCACATAATAGTTTATGATATTTGCTCATTTATTCTGCCTTGCAATTTATAATATTTAATACATAGTTTCCTTTCCTTAATTACTTGCTGATCCACCCTCTTTTACTATAGTCATCTCAATTTAATTTTTCCTTAAATAAACAATATCTCCTACTTCCATATATTGTTTACTGTAACTGACAACAATAATTTACTCCTACTGACGACAATAAATAAAATTTTTATTACAAATCTCTTGTAGATCATCAATCTCCAGTAACCACAATATCTATACTAATATCATAAAAACTTCGAACGTCACTAAACGTCATCATTCGTTGAATTTGATTTTTAAAATTATTTTAAAAATTTACACTATTTCCGTTCGTTTCCATGATTGCATTAAACGCGTTTTATAAAGATATTACACTTTGCCTGTAACATTTTTATTTATATGAAAATAAAATTCATATCTTACTTAAAAATGTTACAAGCAAAGTGAAATATCTTTATAACATTCATATCTTACTCAAAAATGTTACATGCAAACTACATTATCTTTATAAAACGCGTTTAATGCAATCATGGAAACGAACGGAAATAGTATAATACAACTCGGAATTTTCCATGATGTAATTAAGTAATTAACTACTCTCAGAGCACTGACACCTGTTACCAATTGCCATAATAAGATAAGTAGGTGCATTACTCTAATCAGATTCAAGCGATCCTCAGGTGAGAACTATTGCGATTTTAAATACGATATCATTAAAAAAATACCGACAATGAGAGACCTAGGTACCTTTCTAATTAGAGACTAGTGCTAATTATGTGGTTAACAGTCGAGTTGAGTGGTTAATCGTGACCCAAAGCTATGATATGTGTATAGTGATCTACGGATAGAGAGATCTTGAAGTATCTTGGGGTATAGAAATATACATGGGGTGTAGAAATATTGGGGTATGAGAAAGGGATATGAGAAAGATCTAGGGATATGAGAATTTTGGAGGAACAGGAAATTTGGGATATGAAAATATGAGGATGTGGAATTTTGAGATATAGAAATTTAGGATTATTGAAATTTGGGGTGGCGGAATATGGGGATGTTGAAACTTGGGGCGGTGGAAATCTAGGAATATTGAAATTTAGGTGGTAGGAATCTAGGGAAATACAAATCTAATGACTTACAAATCTAGGAATCCAGAGAACTTAAAATCTAAGAATCTAGGAATCTAGGGAACTTGAAATCTGAGAATCTAGGAAGCTAGAGAACCTGGAATCTAGGAAACTTGGAATCTAGGAACCTAGGAATCTAGGGAAATTAGAATTTAGAAACCTAAAAATCTAGGGAACTTGGAATCTAAGAATCTAGGAATCTAGAGAGCTTGGAATCTGGGAATCTAGGAATCTAGGGAGCTGGAATCTGGGAATCTAGGAATCTAGGGAACTTGGAATTTAAGAATCTAGGAATCTAGGGAGCTTGGAATCTGGGAATCTATGAATCTAGGGAACTTGAAATCTAGGGAACTTGGAATCTAAGAATCTAGGAATCTAGGGAGCTTGGAATCTGGGAATCTGTTAATCTAGGAATCTAGGGAACTTGAAATCTAGGAAACTTGGAATCTATGAACCTAAGAATCTAGGGAACTTAGAATTTAGAAACCTAAAAATCTAGGGAACTTGGAATCTAGTAATCTAAGAATCTAAGAATCTAAGAATCTAAAAATCCAAAAATCTAAAAATTTATAAATTCATATTTCCACATAACATATACTGATCTCCCCATTATATACATTTATAACAATTGTAATAATAGTTTCAATAACTACAATTTGAACCATTTAATATCATATTAGTTGAGTAACTAGATTGACAGGATCGTGCGAGGTACAGAAACTGATTTTGCAAGGTATCCATACGGAGAATTAAATTGGGGGTAACCGCGAACGTCAACTCATGCTTTTCGTGAATATTCATGCCCCATATAGAAGGATCGTTAAACTCAGGAATCGAGTTTATAAAGTACTCTTTTTAGTGCCGCTCTTTGCGGTTTTAAAAGAAGCGTTTCATTGCTGCTCGTTAAATAACATAACGTTTCATTCTGCATCAAATTTTACGTTTTTTTAAAGAGGCTCGATAACTTATGAATTTCTCCTGTTATCGATAAGAAAACATTGTCGAAGTACAGTCGTTCGATAAGCACTGATAAAAATATTTATATTCGAATCTTTGTTTTATTTAAATATTTTATTAATTATTACCTCTTTAAATTAAACTAATATTTTATGAAAATTTTAATGATAGTTTAATATTTTTTGTGTCATTAATTTTATTTAATCAAAATTTTTGTCTAAATTTTATTCAAAAACATAGCTACAAATAATACATTAATTATTATAATAAATAATAAAAATAAATATAAAAACTATGCCTAAATTACGTCATTTAATTAATCGTAATTTTATGGTAATTACATTTACATATTTTTATAATTAACAGTATAAAAATGATTTTATATAAAATGTTCTGCTCGACAGCGAGCTGATAAGACACACACGTACAAACCGTGCTGCACATAGTTGCATTCTACACGCAAACTCGTTACACCATTACAATCATGAAAATTGTTGTTTATTTTGCAATGTATACTAGCTTCTCCCGTTTTGTGCAATGCATTTGATAAACGTTTGTTGTTATGTTACACAATAGTTAGAAATTTTGTAAACTTTTCAACAAAATTGACATTTTGTATCAGGAGGGCATACGATTCCAAGAGGTATTCTTTTGTTTTGCGCAAAAACGCATTCCAAGATCCGCGCGATTTTTGCTTCCTTTCACTTGGGAATTTAAAAAACGTTCGCGTTTTCGCATTTTCTAACACTGACAGTTCTAATAGCGATTCTAATCCGCTTCTATTTTCAATGATATTTTAGTGTTTTATTTTATAATTAAATTTAAGGTAAAATAAAAATATGTATTTGAATGATAAGAGAATATACGAGCGATAAAGCGTACTAATTAGGTGATTCTATTTTAATTAAATGTTTTCGGCACAGTCTCCTGCGTCACCTAACACGTGGAATTCGTTTGACATTAGTCACGTGTATAATCATGTGTTCGTGGAGTATACAATAATTTGCACGTGTATAAGTTACAACGTAAATTACCTAAATATAATTCGGTACGAAAATGGACAATGAATCAGATTTGCAGAAGCTCTTTTATGAGTCGTTGAATAATGATAATGTTTTTATGATAGCGATGACTGTCGACACAGGTAGATTCGTGTTTCCCTATTGATTATAAACTGGAACACGTGGTTCTTTCGTGTAACCTATAAAATATTCTAATTTTCAAGGTTTCGAGTGGCAAGCGATAGATGAATGCAAAGAAATCCTGGATAAAAATGTTAAAATTATTAAAGAACGAGGAAAAATATTTGTTAACATATGTTGGAATCAATTTGCACAAGTATTATTATTTTTGACTTGACTGTTTTAAGAAAAGCATTGTCTTTAGCACACTATCCTACTTGAACTATGATTTTAGATACAAGAGATGAGATCAATAGATAACATATTTATAGTGGCAGATGTTAGAAAATTTGAGTTTGTTGGAACTACTAAAGAGACTGATTTACAGCTAATTAAAGATAGTGTGAACAATGGTATGAAATTAGAAAAATGTTTAAATGCTTGGAAATCTGTTACTGCCTTTCGTGGAAAAATATATCCAACTAGTGAAGAGTATACTTTAGCACAAAGTAATCGTAAACTTGAAGACAGAACTATTTTCCCTGCAACTCAGAGGGTAAAGAAAAGAGGTCAAGATCCATCTAATGCCAAGGAAGATGAAATTTTAAGATATAGAGTAACATGTGAAAGAACTGGTAAACATACATTCGAATCTGCTGATGTTGCTAGAGCTATAGGAGGAGAGTTACAAGATAAATACCTTTGGCTTGTAGATTTATCTGCATATTATTTAGAAGTAGTTTGTAAAGTAACTAACAGTAAGTATAATATAAATTTATGAATTTCTATGGTTTACAAAAAATGATACATGGTATACTATACACAGATGAGTTGGTAACACAGTTACGTGTTACTCATGAATCTAAGCACCGTAGAAATATTACATGCTTTGGACCAACCACACTTAGAGCAACTATATGTTACAATTTGTTACGGTTAACTCACCCTAATCCAGGGGATGTAATAATTGATCCAATGTGTGGTGGTGGCTCTATACCAATAGAGGTAGTTTAAATTTCTATATTTATGATATATGCGATACAATTTTGTATTAGATATGATGTAACTGAAAATTCTAGGCAACTTTGGTTTATACTCAATCTTATGTTCTTGGAGGAGATAATCATCCAAAAGCTATAGCCAGAACAAAATCCAATGTTGATACATCTTGCACAAAGTGTAAAATCGATTTGATGCATTGGAGTGTACAACAGTTACCATTGAAAGATTCATGTGTTGATATTGTTATTACAGACATGGTAATGAAATACTCAGGTTTACATTTGTACACTTTATTTTATATTTAATTCAGCATTCACTGTTACAGCCATTCGGAAAAAGAAGTGGTAGAATGATAGACAACAGAATACTCTATAAACAATTTCTGATAGAACTGGGACGAATTATGAAACCCTCAACAGGCCGAGCAGCTTTACTCACGTATGATAGACGTAGTTTTAACACGGTACGTTATCAAAATCTTTTGCTTAATAGTTTATGTATAATTACAATTAGAATTCCATTTTTAGGCTTTACAATCTGCTGGAGACCTGTTTCGGGTAACAAAAATGTTAGGTGTAAATATAGGTGGTCTCCAAGCTGCAGTGTACGTTTTAAAACGTACGGACACAGCTTATGATCAGTTTAAACCTAAAGTTGTTAAACACCTACATACAAAAACAGTTCAACAAAAGTGATTGTGGTTGTTGTTGATTGATATTATTAAGCAAACTTTAGTATCTTTGTTACAAATTGACATTTCACAGAAGTTTAATAAACAGGAATTTTTATATTTCTCATAAAAACGTTATAAATAATTTCAAATAACATGTCCCTAAAATTATTTATATCAAATGCCTATAAGAAGAATTTCCTTCTACTAGTTTCCATGTCATGTCTTCTTCCTTGGATAAGCCATTCATAGTCTCCATATTTAGTATCAAATGTTCCATGTTGCAAATACTTCAATCTTAAAGTAAACCTAGGTCCTAACTCTCTCAATCTAGGTTTATTCTTATTGAAATCAAATTGATACCTGTAACATATGTCATAGTGTGAATTATTTAATTACTTCATCTGAGCTCAAAACCTTACCTATGATGTCTGAAGAATATATAATCTCTTTGATTATGAAATGTTACAACCCTTCTCCCTTTAAATTCTGGTTGATAATGAAATAGTGCCCCCAACATTCTACCAATTGTACAACCCAAACGTGTAGTGAAATTGTTTAAAATAACTTCTGGTCTATGGGTAGTAATTTCTTTGTGACTCCTTTTTAATTCAGGTGTTATTTTAACATTACTAAGTTTAAAGTATGCTGTTGGTCCATCAGGTAAATGAATAACTAACATACCATCTAAGAAACTTTGTAAGGAAAATAATACATTATATCAATTACAAAATAAAGAAAAATGAATATAAAGGTATTAAAAGGATACTAGGTTTGCACTGATCTTCATTAACAACAATAATGTCAGTAAAATTTTTAGCAATGGCACTTTTAACCATCTTTTTTACTCCAGAACGATTTCTGTATAATGAAATAGAGTTTGGTATGATCCTTGTCAATTCAACACCAAAAATTCTAGTTTTCCTTGTTGGATTGTCAGCGTAAGTAATTAAAACCTTAGGTTCATAATCATGCCTATAATAGGAAGCAAATTCATCATGTTCAAAGTCAATTTTGAGTTCCTGATTTTCTTCATCATCAATGTCACCAGTGACCGTAGTCTCATCTTTTTCCCTCAAACTTTCAATAGTATGAGGCACTTGTTTTGGACCACCCTCCTGAATTCTTTTCTTCCGAGCTTCTTTTTTAGCCTTCACCTTTTCTTTCATCAATTTCTGACATTTTTTATATCGAACGGCTTTACATTTTATGTGGTTAAAATTGCTTTCAGATGGTAAAATAACCTCTGGTGTTTCATCTTTCGATGTGCTTGCAACTGCTTCGTCCCTATCCTTCTGAACTCTACTCAGAGGATTTATTCGCAAATTTTTTAGCTTCATTTTGTAATATCTTGCAGATTGATTTGTGTATTAAACCACTTCTTTGTATCATCCACTTATGAGGTTACTGCACGTGTACTTTCAGTCTTTAGGTTAGGTTAGTGTTGGCATTGTTTGTCATACAATCGAAAGAGTGACATTGTCGACAGCATCAACTTGTATAACTGGTTATTTTCCGTTTTACGGGAGATGATTTAAAAAATTTTATTATTGCACTAAATAGTTTATTTGTGCATGTGCTTTGGGCATTGTACGTTTATATTCGGATTTACATTTTTGAAGAGATGACAAATTTAGATAGATTGAAAAAGAAGGAAAGGAAGAAGTTTGTCTTATTTTATAAACCTTATGGACGTATATTTTTAAAAACATATATTTTTGCGTGTCTGGCAAATATTAATTGAATTTTTACGAAAATGGAACATGTGTTTCTGGCGTATGCACCGCTATCTAGCGGTAGAAGATGAGAACTAATTAAACTACGGTTTCAAAAGTGTGTAGTTCATCTTGTTCGCCGGAGAGATGGCACCACTTATTCCGTTTCCGAAAAAGCTCAATTAATATTGATTTTATTGATTAATATGCTATATATTTATTATGTATTTATTAATATTGATTTTTTGCTGTCTGCAATATATTTCGTGGGATGACAGTATTCCAAAGTTTCTCCCAATTTTCGATTTAACTGTTACCATCCTTCGCCATTCGATGGCACCAGTGGTATTGTCCTTGTAGCGCGCATTGATATAAAGTTAAAAATGTGGACATATCTTACGCAATACTTCCACTTTATTAAATTTATTAACTTACAACGGTCTCATGTCTTTTTTCAATATTTACAAATTTAATAATCACTATATTAGACGTGTAAATTTCACGAACTGGTTATGTAATACTTGAGAAGTATTGCCATATGGTTCTTTGAACGCGGATTAACCGATTTCTACATGTCTTTAGTGTAACCATAGAAGTAATTGAAATACGAATATTTACTGGTCCATCATGTATATATATATATGTACAAATACATCCCTTTAACATAAAATATATGATTCCTAATGATTCTTACACTTATATTTGATTTATGTACATTGTAATGTAAAATGTGTATATATAACTTTATACATAAAGCTCAATAAATAGCTTAATCATAATTTATTAACAAAATAGTATGAGGATGAGTTACTTCCTATGCTTCTTATTAATTCTATTTTTGAGTTAAAAGAACTTCACTGTCACCCACAATATAAAAAATACAACTATAGAAAATAAGATTAGGTATAAAATATAATAATTATGACTTCCTTTAGATAAACGTAAAACACGTGCAACAGAAGATGTTAATGAACCACTTGTCCTTTCAAAATCTTCATCCTGTGATGATAAACAAATTTGCTCTATGTATTTATAGTTTGAAATACTTGTAATTAACAATCTGTTATGACTTGTAATTCACCATTCCACGAAGCATCTTATCCTGATATTGTACTTCAGTTCCGATGTCAATTGACAATGACTTTAAAGCATGAATTTTATCCTTTAAATGATTTGTCATTCTTTCATTCTCGTCTTCCAAATTGTCATGATTCGATGTTGTTGGTAATGGCTCATAGGCATAATCTGTCACAGAAATGAATTTATATCAAACCTAAAGCAATTATATTTTATAATACTTGTTTAAGACTGGTTCACCTACTTGAGTGAGCTCTTCGCATTGTATTCTCAATTTTGGCAGTTGATTAAGATACCAAAGCCAAGAAGATTATAAGTGAGCTATGTAACGAAAATTCTACAAAATATTAGTAGATCAAACCAGATATTATAACTTTATTTTGACAATGTGTGTAAAATTTTTATTATTCAGCTGTGTGCAACACAATACATTTATACAGAATAACTGGAGAAAGAAAATTTGAATATACTAAATAAATTTTCATCAATGGGAATTCAAAAGTTAGAATATGGTAAATGAAGTATTTTAAAAAATTGTTTATTTCAAGTTATAATGAATTTATAAAATACGTTTAAAGACTCAAATTGTTTTTATGCATATACACTATGTCGACGTGTAGAATTACGAGCGGATTAAAAAGAACTGTCACTGAAATTGTTGATCGTATCAAACACGAGTAACGATATATGTCAACGTCACGTTATGATGTGTAGCAAATATTACCAACCTAACCTAAATTCTGGAACTAAGAATATAGGGATAAAATGGAAACCTGAAGAAAAGGAGGGAAAAGTTTGCGGGAGCGGGAAGACCTGACGTCTAAATTTAAATACGGTATAAATTTTTCAAATATTTTTAGTAAAATTAATGTAATTCATTCAAAATTAATTAATCAATCTATTATTTAACAGATTTCTGAAGTGAACATGTATTAATTTGACATAATAATACGTTTTAAATGAAGAAAAGAGGAATTGCAGTCAAAACATCATCACTTCTTCATAGAGCAGGTAATTGACTTTCTTTTGTTAATTTAAACAGCAACGAATTTTTTAAGATTATTCAAATAAGACTTCATATAATTTTAAATTTATTATCAATGTATTTATGAAAATTAGTTATATATAATTTTATAAAAAAAAAAGTAAAATTCAGTTCAACACGTAATTACAATGAAATATACATAAATTTTTGGTAAATTACAAGATAATAGTTGTTTCTTGTTGAATTTATTATTAATTACAGTATGTTAAATATAAAGGCACAAACAATGAAAAGTAGTCTTCTACTTTCTAGATCCCTACGGCTCTATTACTTGATTCTGTGCTATATCTTTGATATATAATTGTCACTTAATGTTAAATACAGATTTCTTAACGATAGGAATACTTATTACAACGTTAACCTAAATCTTTGATGTTGAACTTAAATACGTCCGTTATTTCTAGATATTCACAACCCTATTATAAGAAAACGTTCAACGTTCTTAAATATCCAATTCCTAACGCGAGGATGACACACGTAAACGAGGAATGAAATTAAATTACATCTTCGTATTTTTTTCCATATACGTACATACAATATATATTGTACCTTGAAAAAATTTCAACAACTATCTAACTTGGTTAATTTTTCTCTTGTGTGCCCTTCGATATTTCACATCGTTCACGGATATTATATTTATACTTTCACATCTATAACATTTCTACTTTTAACATCGAACGACGATCGATAAGGTTCTACAAATATTTCTCGTATATAAATTCAACATTGATCGCGAGAATTATAAATCCCGCGCTTTGTGCACCGTATAAATTATTACATACGCATGATGTCTTATGTCTTTCCGTTTCTATTCAGTACACAATTACTTTTAATGCAGTTTGATCCCCCAGATTTAACGGAAATTAGGCCTGAAATACATTAGTGTAATTGTAAGAAAAAATGTCAGCGGTAAGAAATTCGGATTGTACGTCAACGTTTCATTTTGGAATGTTTAATGCCACAGGATCGTTGGAAGACATTACTTGATTCTTTCACCGTGACTGGTTTTCGTGTATAAGACATTCTTTTTGTACTTTCACAGTGGCTAAAATTTAGGAATCAAATTTCGAATGTGCCCGTCAGGTTTGCCGATGTGACAATGTATAAAATTTGTCAACGATGAAAAGTGACTTCATTTTCACTGTTTAGCACCTAGAAAAAAGTTCCACCCTTTATACAAATCTCTCCTATACAAACTAACATCATGAAACAGTCTGTTTCGCACGAATCCTTTTCTATAAACTAACTTTACAAAACAATATTTCCAAACTTCTCTCGAATAATTGTATACAAAGTTGAGCAGGTAAATAGATGTCTTAAATTAAACGCATGTATCGGGGCTAATGGATTATTTAGGCAAGAACATGATCGTTTGTCTTTAGAACTTTCTTAAAATATCGTAAACGATGATAAATACTAAAACACATTAGCAATAAATATAGGAAACACGGGATGTTGATTGTATTGCTTATTCGCATAATTAGGGATGTACGGATAGGTAATTTCAGACTCGAATCCGATTGGGTAAAATCGGAGAGGTTCGGACGGGTACCCTAAACATACGGTTTATATGTTCGGATTTTACTCGACCTCATCAGACTTTCTCCAACCTGATCCGACATATTATCCGCACATCGTTAATGATAATCCAAATTATTTGCTAACGTTAAATATCAATAAAAATTATCCGGTATTTGTCAATTATTTAGAAGAATATTTTGAGGTGTTTAGGGACGTGGTTGATGAATGAACTCTTCGAGATGGAGCAGGGCTCACTGGAGCCGAAGGAGAAGGTCCAGTAGGTGTTGTCGGTTTAGATCCTCTTCTACTGCTTCGTCTTATCGACGAGTAAGGACTTGTACCTCTGTTTACGCGCTCGTGAGCGTAAAGTAATACACCGATGTCTCGATTGCCCGCTTCTAACGCTATTTTTAATGCGGAACTACCATCTATATCAGTAATAGATGGATCACAGTCTGGATGTGCAAGCAACAATCTCACAATATCAGTATGTCCATGCTCTGCGGCACACATTAAGGCTGTACTGCCATCTTCATCTTGAATGTTAACGGCTGCTCCAGCATCAAGGAGTAGTTGAGTCATATCTTTACGACCGTGGGATACTGCTAGCATCAAAGCAGTTTGACCATGCTGAAAAAGATATCAGAGTTTACACTGATTGCTATGAATTTAATGTTTAATAGTTTCCTCTTAGTACATTTTCTGATAAGTGCATTGCTAAACAAAATTACTACTGATTAACTTCATGGAATTATTCAATCATACTCACTAATTTTGCTCGAATATTAACATCAGCAAGTTGGAACAACCTGTTGGCTACTGAAGCATGGGTGGAATTCCTAACTTCAGCTAGAGCTGCCAACATCACAGCCGTGTACCCAGCTACATTTGCTTTGTTAATGTCGCAAACTTTTGAATCCAGTAGTATGGACACAACATCAAAATTTCCATGTGAAACCGCATAATGCATTGCAGTATTTCCACTTGAATCAGTCATATTAACAATGTACTCTAATAAACAGCTAGAGCATTCTTCAAAACAATCTAGATAATCTTCAACCTCTAAAGGATTAGCATTCACAGTGCTGGAGATTTTAAACCACTCTTGCTGAATGATGTTGATAGCATTCTTCATTTGATGGGAGATATTTTTACTGGGAGATTTCTTGAGACTGTCATTGAGAACTTTCATGGCGGCTTGCATCTCCTTTGAAGGTTCAACCTTCTTCCTGGGTTTCTCTTGAATCGGTTGGAATAGAGCAGACTCTGGAAGCTCATGTTTCTCTTCGTTATCTGCCTGCTTCTCCTCTGTGAATATATGCTCTGACTTCTCATCTTTACCTTTCTCCCCTTGCAGTTGTTGGATACTACAATACAAATGACAAAATATATTAAATTAATCAAACGATGTATGTTTTTTTTGTTTCGCGCAGAAACGAATTGGGCGAAAACAATGATCCAAGAAATCAATTACCCTTTCTCAACGAAACGAGCGGAAGGTATCTCGGCGAGTTCGGTATCGTTAACTAAACGGGTAGAGTGTTGTTGCTGCTGTTGCAGCATCGATCCGTCGAGATCGGGTACACGATTTACTTGCTCACCATAACGAATTCACGAGGATTTTAAGTGCACTTTCTTTGTCACTGACCTCCAAGTACGCTATTTACAATTTGACCTCTGTACTTTGCCCCCGTAAAAACACTTATGATGCATACGACGCGCAACCATGGAGTCGGAAAAAACCAACAATTCCCTGACATGCGCTGGATAGCCATTAAGCATACATATAGCAGATTGATCGTTCACGTCAAGTTCTTCCGCAAATTTTTACAGAACTACCCCTAAATTCTACCCTGTCGGTAACAGATGGCGCACGTCGCAATTTCTAGGGTTTATAATTTGAAATTATTATAATAAATCATTTTTTTTTAATTTTATGCAGATTTAGATACTGAGATAGTTGTGTTGATATTGTTAGAAGTATTTTTATGGTAGATTTATTGATATGGTTGTGTGTTTTGTTAAGGTTGGGGTAAGTTGGTGAAGGGATACCTATATGGTAAAAATTTTCAAATTCTTAAATTTTCAAATTTCCAATTTTCACCTCCCTAAATTCTCAAATTTCCAAATTTTCAAATTTCCAATTTTCACATCCCTAAATT